TAAAAGCGTCGAATTTGACCCACCCTGTACACACTAAATCTCGTTTTTTATTTATAAAAAAATAAGAAAGTGATACGGATTGTGAAAAAAAACAGATACAGGTATCCTGTCTAGTTAAATAATAATAATTTAATATTCCGAAGACTATATTATTATCATATAACATAAACATTCTTGGTTTTCTTAATCACGCAATTCCGTACACATTTTCCAACTAGGAAAACCTTGATAATGACCTTTGATTCATCGCGCTACTATTTCTTGCATAACATTTTACTATGCAGACTTGCCCATCGGAAGGATAGTTGATGGTCATTTTCGCAATGAAATAACCAGTCAAATAACTCGATCATCCGCATCAATTACATTTCATAGGGGGCGGCATTGAATCTAATGTCATTGTTCTAGATGTTTTTTGTTAATGAAGGACATAATGACAAGTGAATTTTCGGCTATCTGTCGTTGTTTTTAATTTGCGGTTCACTGGGTTTTTCCTATAAAATAATTTACGTTTTTGGATATAACATACATTTTTGTGAAAATTTCCATAATTAGGATTTTTTTGATACACTTACGTGCTTAATAAGAGCACTACGCAATAAAATTAAAAACTGAGTGACAATACAGTTTTTAACTATTTTAATAATTCATGATTTTTAATAAAATAAATTATATACCACAATTTTTTATTTTCTTTCACAATCGTGTATTGTTCGGGAAAGTCGTAAAAAACATAAAACGATAAAAAAAAACAGGGTTTTGTTAAGTCCTCTCTTTATAACATTCTAAACATTAATAAGGAAAACTGACTTAAATGAATCAGGAAGTTGTAGATGTAGATTGTATGCGAGGGGGAATTTAATCACCGTGACCTTATTTATCTATTGTGCCCCCTTTCTTGAGGTATAACCCATCATACAGACAGCTTCGATAAAAGTCGGTATTTGAGACGGTTTTACAGATCTTAGTCCTCCATCTACGTTATCAGCTGTACCAAAGTTCATAGCTTGTCGTCTCAGCGCAGTCAGTGATGTGTGTTCTGCCGTTTCCCCACAGAATCTGCATTCGCCATTGTTGCTTAGCTTCAATCTACTGAAGTGTTTTTCACTAAGGAGATAGTGTTCTGTTAAAAACCCTGTGACAATCCGAAGAGCTATAAAGGTACAAGGATACTTTCCATAAAAACTTAAAGGGGAATGCAGAATCAATGGGAGGAAGGAGCGCACAATAGAACGCAATAGAGAAGAATTGTAAACTCGGTTAACAAAGACAACTAAAAAGTAGAGGCAACAAAGTAATAGTCTAGGGGAGCTGGCTACATAAAAAACCTTATCATCGTTACATGGCTAATTTTTTGTGTGAAGTATCCTTTTGTGTAGCCATTATGAAATAGTCATGTCTGCCAGCGCGATCCCGGGGCTAAAAGCGGAGGCGGCCAGTCGAAAGGGTGAAATTTTGATACTAAAAATATTATAGGATACATGAGTTATAATTGCGAAAATAGCTTTTATTTATTATTAAGAAAGGTAGAAAATTGTTGGCAGATATTTTTCTAGTCGCTAAAATGCTGACAGACGCTAGTCGCTAAAATGCTGACGAAAGAGGCATGAAATTTTAAAAATTGAAATTTGAAGAATGAAAAAAATTATGGCATATTTGCATGCCGATTGGTGAAATGTCATATTTATTTATTTTAAAAGCCGTATGCAAAAGGGCAGACAAAAAGATCGTGGCTCAATCAGCTGCAGACAGTTATCAAAAGCGCGATATTACTCTAGCGCTTTATTCATAAATCATATAATATACGATTACATTATAAATATATTTTTTTATTATTTCAATAACGATTTTTTTGTCTGCCCTTTTGCACATACGGCTTTTTAAATTAATTAACAATAAACATGACATTCCACCAACCGACATGCATGTATGCGATGATTTTCTTTTGTCAAAATTCTATGCCTCTTTCGCGTTGTCTGCCGGCATTTCAGCCACGAGAAAAATGTCTGTCAACAATTTTACACGTTTCCTAATAATAAATAAAAGCTATTTGGCAATTATAACTCGTGTACCTTATAATAGTACACCTTTTAGTGTCAAAATTTCACCCTTTCGATTGGCCGCCCCCGCTTTAAGCCCCGGGATCGCGCTGGCAGACATGACTATTTCACAATGGCTACACAAAAGGATACTTCACACAAAAAATTAGCCATGTAACGATGATAAGGTTTTTAATGTAGCCAGCTCTCGGTCTATAATGAGATTTTTGAATATCCGGAGTGCAGAAGTGAGATAACATCACGTATAGGGCTTTTCAGTTACAGAAAAGTTCATGAAAGTGAGCGAGTAATGGCTTAAGATCGTCGGATGTCTAGTTTCTCTGAGAAAATGCCTATACCTGTGCCTCCTGAAGTTGCGGAAACATCTGGGTAGACAGCTATCTCTTGAGTGTTCATTACTCGGTTGCTTTCCCATTCTTCTCTTGTCAGGATGCGAATCCTTATCTTTTCTCCAAAATCATGTTTGGTGGTCTATCAGGTTTTCTGGTCTAGCAGATGTGGACTCGTGTTCACCATGATTTTCCCTATCTCTGGCAATATCCTCGAGTGACCGTAGTTGGTCTGGTTCCACAGATTGGATTCCCTTAATCTTAGGGCATCTTTAGCGGCCAGATCCTTCACGAGCCAGTCGATTGATTGCAAGTCCAGAATTGCTTCTAGCGTAGCGTGCGCTGTGTTGTTCCTTGCTCCAGTTGTACCTAGAGCTGCTAATCGCTGTACTTTTGTGAGGCTTTTTCTATTAGTCACTTTAAGTACCGCTCCCACCATACTAGTGGTCCATAAGTGATGATTGGTTAGGTTAGGTTAGATGATTGGTCTATCTATAGTATTGCACATCCAGTGTATAATGTACGGTTGCAGACCCCATCTCTTCCCAAATAGTTTTTTAAATGCATAGAATGCATTTATTCCCTTTATCATCCTTTCCTCCGTGTTCTTTTTCCAGGAAAGCTTCAAGTCCAGAATGATTCCTAAATATTTTGTCTCCTTAGCAAGTACAAGTGTCTTCCTTTCCAGTTTTGGTAGCGTGAACTTGGGTATCTTTACAAAAAAATACGACAACTTCAATGAAATTATAGTTAAGCCGGTCCCACACGATGTACCAAACACCTTCGAACGTTGGACACATGAACATTTGCTACATCGTGTAGGAGACACACTTGTGAATTGCAATATTATCGAAACCTGAGCCAAATGATGCGTCCAATGTAGGAACCCAAGTAGCATTTTCACGACTTGCGACCATATGTTTACTAGACACAACGTTGGATTAGTTACAAAAAATAGTTAGCTCCCTACCTTGGGTATTAAAATAAATTTAAACGTTTTTATAACGTTGTGCCGACGTTGGACTAGTACTACAGCAAAGTAGAAGCTTCTGCGACGTCGAATAAACATTGTCTTGTAACCTTTTTTGCTTAAGTGATCTTTAGGTGATTTGGACAACGTAGTTACAACGTTGGACAATATAGAGTTTTCCGACGTCAGTTTCAGGACCTATTCCAACGTTATGCAAACGTCGTCTGTTTTACTACTTCCAACGTTGTTTAGATTTCCTTATTCTTACGTTGGCAGGACGTCGAGTCACTACCTTTTTGCAAGTGTATTGAACCATAACCTTAAATCTTAAATTTTCACTTCATTGTTCCGTTCAGTCAGACAGTTCAGTGCTGTTTTTGTTTTTATAAAAAAAACTTAATTAAAATGGGACATAAGAAAGGTACATATAAAACTAAATTTAAAAATACATCGACATATATTACCGATAGTTTATCCACTCCCTCGTTTATTTAGATTTTAGAGAGCGGCACAAGCTAGACTCTAGGATGACTAAATTAGGCAATCTTGCGACTAGTATACTACCTGTTACGGCCGAACTGCGACTTTATTAGTCCAGTATGCGACTACTCGAACTACTCCATCTTAATCTCCAAAACAACAAAATGAAAGCTGCCATGTTGTTAAATAAGAAAATGTTTCGTTCCTAAAATAGCAATTCCTGCTTTTTGAATACATTAACTTGAAATATTTGACCCTAAAAAACACGCGGAAACAATTTTTTCGATTGCGAATAGATTATTCTCATTTTACTAAAAAAAAATCAAGAAAATTTTTAAAACTTCTTTAATTTTAAGGCCCATTGTCATTTTTCAAAGTAGAAACAATACATTTATCAATAAACTTGTTTGCGTTTAACTTTTTTGCCTTGGGTAACGAGTTACAGAGTCGGTTAAAGTGTTTCAATAATTATGATCTTCAAACATCCTCCACACTTAAATACTTTTGTTTTGTTTTCCTTCACTGCCATCTGTAATGATTATTAAAAAAAACGTAAATTTATTTTAATAATCTGACATATGTCTCTAACTAAATCATAAAAATAATATTTTTACTATAATTATCCCAATTTAGGATAAAACGCGACTTAGACGCCATATTACGTTTTGTATTTCTGTAAATTAGGATTTTAAACAACGTTGCAGTTTGTACTAAAATAGGCTTCTAGCCAACGTCGGTATCCAACGTCGTTTCGACCCAAAAATTATTCTCCAAACTAGTGCAGACTAGGGTTGGCACGAGGTTGTGCCGACGTTGCGCCCCGGCGTTTGGTCACGTGACACAACGTTGTCCCGACGTCCAAATGCTGCTTGAGAAGCATCGTGTAGGACCGTCTTTATCTATCTAAAAATCACTAAAAATAATTCTATTTTTTACTAAAATAGGCTTCTAGCCAACGTCGGTATCCAACGTCGTTTCGACCCAAAAATTATTCTCCAAACTAGTGCAGACTAGGGTTGGCACGAGGTTGTGCCGACGTTGCGCCCCGGCGTTTGGTCACGTGACACAACGTTGTCCCGACGTCCAAATGCTGCTTGGGAAGCATCGTGTAGGACCGTCTTTATCTATCTAAAAATCACTAAAAATAGTTCTATTTTTTAGAATCAAGTTATTCATCGCCACGAACTCGGTACCGAAGTCGTAGGTGCTCAGTACCTCCTTGTAACACCGGCAGTTGACGTACGAGATCCGAATTCAGGATGCCAGGATACTTTCGTCTACGTAGCCGATGTTCTGGGATATTCCCTTATAGTATATGACGTTTTTCGGGACAGATCATGGAGAATACAGGATAAGAGCATGTACCCTTATCCCAATTTTGGAACGTACAATATTGCTGGTAAGATGAGCATCATACAATACGTCTCATCAAGTAAAAAGTAAATATATCATCATATACATGGTGGCGCACCTCATTCGCCTCGGTTGATTATACGAAAACGGAAAGATGTAGAAACAAAATATTTTATGGGTGTATGTGGGGAGGCAATGTGCACAATTTAAAATTATTTTGAAATATACAGGGTGTCTCAGAACTAAGATCCATACCAAAGTTATATTTTTCTTATGGTTTTATCTTATGGAACACCCGGTATTTTATTTCATTTTTGGATTCTCGGGCCCAAAAAAAGGCATTTATTATAAGGGTTGAATATGTTTAAAACCATTAGTTTTTGAGATATTTAAAAATATTTAGATATGCATGCTACAAGAGAATTGATTATCAACACCCTGTACATTACTTTTCAGAATTAATTCTTGTGCTGAGTTTAAAGGTAAAGAAATAAACTTTACTGGAAAATGTTATTATTTCCTTAAATTTATACAGGGGTACCAAAAATTAGTGATCTATTTTAAGGATTTATTTTACATAAAAACTTTGTTATTTCAAATGCAACACCCTGTATTTTTTTAAATAAATCGAAGCCGATTCAAATGCTCTTTCAAACTATATTAGGTTTCCTATACCTATCTATCTCAGATGTTGAATAAAAACCAATTTTTAAATAAAATGACAATCAAGACGGCTGGTATCGCCATGGCAATTTTCTAGTGACAGTTAGTAACTATTTTCAAAATTGACATTAGTGTATGGACATTATTATTTAAACAGTTTTCTAAAATTTACCCACAATGTTTTAATAAGTAAGTATTCTTTATTTTACGAAGAAAAATATTTAAATTTGTTTATAACTACGATTAAGAACGATGCATATTGTTAGATCGTACACTGAGATTTACAAATTCACAACAAAAAAAAATAAAAGTAATATTTTTATTTATTATTTGTAATATTTATTATTACTGACCTGGTATTATTTATTTGAATCTATCAATCTCGATTTTCCTTATTCAGTGTTAATTAGTGCTGATCAATATTGTTGCGATGAATATAATCAGATTAAATAATTTAAAAATCGGAGTCGGACTTGACATTTTTTTAAATAATAACTGAATAGTTTTGTCGTTGTTAAGGTACCCAGAACAAAAAAAATATATATAGTGTGGCATATTATTGTACTCAGGAGGTCAAATTCTTTCAAAAGCTGAAATAAAACATGCAGGTCCGTATTTAAAAAAATTAAGTTGGCCTCTGTATCTCAAAAATAATCAGCTAATTTAAAAATCTAAAAAAAAAACATTACATAGCCGTAATAAAGTGGCTATCAGAATGTGTAATTAGTTTTTTGATTATCTAAAAAGTAACGACAGGAAAAGATAAAATCGATTTTCAAAAGAATCGTTTTTCCCAAAAAACTCAGCAATCCTTGAAATTTGTAAAACTTTTTTGATGGCATCTTGGCGAACGTCCCAAGGCGCAGCTTTGCCCCAATTTAACTATCTTCGTATCTATTACGGTTACCGAGATACCAATGCTCGTACCTCGAATTTGTAGAACCCTGTACATCTGAAGGAATAATGGCGCTTTTCAAAAGTAATCATACTAAAATAGGCTAAATTCTTGTCATCTACTTTTTTAGTCATATTATTCATTATAGTTAACTAGTGGTAAGATCGAAAAAAACGTGTCAGATTTTGTTTTCAGGTGACAGCTTCGAATTGATGGACGGAATCTTAGGGTTGTCTCTATCTCCAAATCGACAAGGAGAAGACCGAGTTCTCTTTTTCCACGCTATGTCTAGTCCAACTGAAAACTGGGTATACACATCCGACATAAGAAATTACACGAGATTTCAAGATAATCCAGCATCATATCCAGAGATATTCCATGTAAGCACAATGAGAATATTATCAGTTATTTCTTTTAAGCTTTTTAAAATGATAATGATTTTTTAATATCACTGTCTTATGTCTTCAGAAAGAATTCTGGGTTTTTCGCTATTGCAAGGGAGCCTACGAAATAAACAAGTTATTTTTTGTATACACTACTGTGTTGAATTCAAATGGAATCCAGCTTGTCAGAGGGTTTTATAGGGAATTTATTAGGGAAGATAGTAAAACGAACTTCCCTAACCGACAAAAAAGCTTAACTATTCAAGAATACTCTAGTTTTTAGCAGATTCGTCTATTATAAACCAATGACATTTGTTGACCATACGACGAGATATATCTTCTGAAGCGTTAAGCATTTTTTGGCGGTTACGCAAATTTGTGTTACTAGCAAAAAGGCACTGACAAGCTGGTTTCAGTTTGGATTCAACGCAGTGTATAATTTTTTCCAATAGAATATAGAATGTATGGGAGGGGGTCCTTCCAGATCTATTGCATCCCTCTTTCTTGAGTTATAACGAGTTATAACTGATCATACAGGCTCAGGGCTTAGACAAAAGCCAGTATCTGAGACGGTTCTACAGAGCATAATCTCCGATGTCAGTCGTACATTATACTTTATGACACGAATGGTTGTCGTCTCGGCGCACTCAGTGATGAAATGTTCTGGTGTTTCTCTATTTCTTCTAGTAGCGATAAACACAAAGTTTTTTTCAAAATTCCTCCATAAAGGTACAGACATAATTTATTAATATCTTATATTTGTAGACATACAATAACGGTAGAACCACACAAAGCGCTGCTGAAGATATTAACAAAGACGGTATAATGTTCTTCGGACTACTTGGTGATGTTACAATTGCTTGTTGGAGCACGGGTACGGATTATGGCACAAAACAGTTTGACATTGTCGCCAACAATCCAGTAACAATGCAGTTTCCTAGTGGAATAAAGGTAATAAAATAAATCATAATTATTGACATAAAAAATTATTTTATAATTAAGTTTAAATAGGTTTGTTAGAAACAAGCAGAATTTAAACTAGGGATTGCAAATTTACCGACTTTTCAATTTAACGTTAATCGGGAATTTATAACATGGAATTACCGGTTAACCGGTATTTACCGTTTGTTTCTGCTTATCAGAACTATATAGCAAAAAAAGTTAAAATATAAAAGCAACATTTATGCAATTAAAGCAGCTTTGTCAAATATTTCCTTTTTCCTTCTTGCTGAAAATATTGAATTTCTGCTTTCAAGGTTTATAAAATAACCATAGACGTTATATAATTTTATAGATGATTAAACTTGCAAAATAAAACACTAAATCATCACAATACACCAAAACACTTTTACAGTGGACGTGCGTTCCTCTAACCATGTTAGCATCATCAGCAGATTATTAAGACTAATCCAAAAAGAAATTTTGGTCTCCTTTGATGTGTCTTCGTTGTTCCCAAGTGTTTCAATTCCACATACTTTAGGCTACTTGAAAGAATTACTGAACGCAAATGGTCTCGACAACAAAACTGTGGTTGAATATATTGAGCTTACATCGTTATGTATGAAACAAAATTGTTTTCAATTTATTAACAACTTTTTTGAACAGCGCAGCGGGAAGGTACAGCAATGGGTAATCCATTGTCTCCATTTTTGGCTAATTTATTCATGAGCAGGCTTGAAGTGGAGGCTAAGAATCAGTTTGAGTATTTTCCAAGAGTAGGTATGGTTTAGGTATGTAGATGATATTTTTACTGTTTTTGACAAATCATCTACACATCATCATCTACATTCAGACACCATAGATAATTTTATTTCTAAGTTAAATAATCGTTTTCCTTCCATTAAATTTACACATGAAATTGAGAACAACGACAGATTACCATTTCTAGATGTATTAGTTATTAGAAATACTAATAATTGCTTGGAATTTGATATCTATAGGAAAAATACCACTACATGCAGATATATTCCTAATGAATCATATCATAGTTAATAAATTGTACTGAAGCTGTGGTTGGTTCCTTGTGAAACATCGTTGAAATATTAGTATTTTAATAAAACACGCTTTTAGATGTATCAAAAAACTTTTAATAAGAGTAACTTTAACTCTACATATATGTTTCGGCTTGTTAGGCCTTTTTCAAGAGTTTTTTTAAGAACTAATCGTCTAACTACACTGTAACTATATAAAATTGTCAGTGGTTCCATTGTTTCTGAAGTTGGAGTACCAAAATTTGATAGGAGAGTTTTATAGAGATGAAAAAAAAGATATATGTAAAGATATTTTAGTTAAATAATACAGGGTGTTCAAAATATATTTATGAATTTCAACTACTTAAAATTAAAAAATCTCAAATTTTTTAAATGAGACAGCCTATATATTATCATTTTTTCTGATAGATTTAACAAAACTCTTCAACTTTTATTAAGTATGTCATATCCCTATTTTTAATAGTTTGCAATTTATTCCCATTTTTTCTATTTTTACCCATATTTTTAATACAATTACCCTATAAAATCATAGTTGCCATGACAAAACAAAACTATTTATTACTTACCTTTAACAAGTAGCTTCATAATTAGTTACAATTGCTGGTATTAGTTAAAATTAATTAACTTTACTCAAATAAACTAAATCGCAGTAGTGAATTTCTTGGTGTATTTCTATTTTATGAAAGATGACACTTGGGATTTTTTGTCGGGGCGAATAGCCAGAGATTAGGGTAATATTAGATTTCCTAATTGCTAAAGACTACTGATATATGAATTTTCTTCGACATACAGTATAGTTTTTTTCTCGTAGTAATTCTGATTTATAATTCATTTGGTAAAGCCAATATTACTACTGCCACGAAACCGTCCCATTACACACTGAAGATGTTTTCTAGATAATATACATCTATCCTTATAGTAGTTAGCAAAGTACTATATAATAAATAGTACTGAACCAAAAAAATGTGGTTTTCTAAGCTTGTCCATGTATATCATTCACAATGACTAATTCATTTCAAGAAAATCTGTTATCTCTACAATTTATACTTATTACAACAAATTAAACTAAAATTCAAATTTTGTTCTTAACTTGCTTAACAGACATGAAATTGTCATAATTATTACTTTTTGTCATGGCAACTATGATGTTATAGCGCAATTGTATTAAAAATATGGGTAAAAATAGAAAAAATAGGAATTAATCGCAAACTAATAAAAATAGGTATATGACATTTTTAACAAAAGTTGAAGAGTTTGGTAAAATCTATCAGAAAAAATGATAATATATATAGTTGTGCCATTTAAAAAATTGAAATTCCTTAATTTTAATTAGTTGAAATTCTAAATATATTTTGAACACCCTGTAACATCTAACTAAAATATCTTTACATAGGTCTTTTCTATATCTCTATAAAATTCTCCTACCAAATTTTAGTTGTCCAACTTCAGAATCAATGCCATCATTGACAATTTTTTAACCCACTGCAATCTAACATTTGTTTAAACAAATTTAAATATAACAAAAACTATTAATTTTAGGTATATAACATTATATATAAAAAAGTAATGGAATTTTACGCAGAATCTAAAAATAAAATAAAAAATAAATTGTGTTTTTTAATAAGAAAAAAAAACAAAGCCAACCAAGTTTAATCATTACAGTTGGAGGTTGGAACCTTTGGTGTTACACAGCAAAATAAATCACTAAATCACCACAATACACCAAAACACTTTTACTTTTACACTGGACATGGACGGGCGTTTCGCTAATCATGTTAGCACAATGTTAGTATCGTCAGCAGATGATTAAGACTAATCTAAAGAGTACGATTTGAGCGTTTATATACTCGCTCAGTGGATTGCCACAGTGGGCGTGGCCGAGATCTAGCAAACTGAGTCAGCGTCCACCGAGCACAGTTAGATTTCCGCCACTAGAGTAGTGGGAACAAAGAACTTGAAGGAATTGGACCGTTGTCTCTGTTCATACTATCTTTACATTTATTAATTCTGATGCTTTCATATGCATCTAATTGCCTGTAATTTGAGACTTGTTTAATTAATTTTAAATGATTAAGATCATATACAATGTTCTTTATCAACAATATGTTCAGCAACGCAAGATTTATTCGGCCTACCGTATTTTATCTGAGCTAAATGTTCTTTAAATCTAGTTAATATTGATCTTCTAGTTTGCCCAACATATTTTTGATTACAATCTTTACAAGAAATTTCATAAATACCCGTCCTTTCCAGGGGAGGTGTTTTATCCTTTGGATTACCTAATAATTGTTGTAATTTATTATTAGCACTCTACACAAGTTTCTAATTGACATTCATAAAAAAATTTTTTAGACCACGGGATAACTCTCTATCAAACGGTATTGAAAAATATTTTAACGTATATCTTTCTCCACTTGAAAAGTCGAATTTTCAGAAATCATTAACATATACGTACGTTTTCTAATTATTTTATCAATTAGTGCAGGAGAGAATACCCATTACACTCAGCTATATACATTCCTAATGTAGTCTCTTTCTATTTCATATCTTTCGTTGGTAAGTGGAAAACTAAATAATCTATCAACTAAGAAATTTAAACTAGCCATTTCATGTTCAACACTATGATATGTTAGTATTTTAATAAAACACGCTTTTATATGTATCAAAAAACTTTTAATAAGAGTAACTTTAACTCTACATATATGTTTCGGCTTGTTAGGCCGTTTTCAAGAGTTTGTTAAGAACTAATCGTCTAACTACACTGTAACTATATATATATATTTGCTATGGGGGTGGGTTCAGAGAGTTTACAATAGGGGTAATAAAAAATGATTCGGTTTGGTTCGGTTGGTATATATATATATATATATATATATATATATATATATATATATATATATATATATATATATATATATATATATATATATATATATATATATATATTGTTTGTTATGAGGGGTGGGTTCAGAGAGTCATTTTTTCAAATAACTATATATATATATATATATATATATATATATATATATATATATATATATATATATATATATATATATATATATATATATATATATATATATATATATATATATATATATATATATATATATATATATATATATATATATATATATATATATATATATATATATATAGTTATTTGCTTATGGGGGTGGGTTCAGAGAGTCATTTTTTATTACCCCTATTGTAAACTCTCTGAACCCACCCCCATAGCAAATATATATATATAGTTACAGTGTAGTTAGACGATTAGTTCTTAACAAACTCTTGAAAACGGCCTAACAAGCCGAAACATATATGTAGAGATAAAGTTACTCTTATTAAAAGTTTTTTGATACATATAAAAGCGTGTTTTATTAAAATACTAACATATCATAGTGTTGAACATGAAATGGCTAGTTTAAATTTCTTAGTTGATAGATTATTTAGTTTTCCACTTACCAACGAAAGATATGAAATAGAAAGAGACTACATTAGGAATGTATATAGCTGAGTGTAATGGGTATTCTCTCCTGCACTAATTGATAAAATAATTAGAAAACGTACGTATATGTTAATGATTTCTGAAAATTCGACTTTTCAAGTGGAGAAAGATATACGTTAAAATATTTTTCAATACCGTTTGATAGAGAGTTATCCCGTGGTCTAAAAAATTTTTTTATGAATGTCAATTAGAAACTTGTGTAGAGTGCTAATAATAAATTACAACAATTATTAGGTAATCCAAAGGATAAAACACCTCCCCTGGAAAGGACGGGTATTTGCGAAATTCCCTTTGTAAAGATTGTAATCAAAAAATAGCAAACTAGGAAGATCAATATTAACTAGATTTAAAGAACATTTAGCTCAGATAAAATACGGTAGGCCGAATAAATCTTGCGTTGCTGAACATTGTATAGATCTTAATCATTTAAAATTAATTAAACAAGTCTCAAATTACAGGCAATTAGATGCATATGAAAGCATCAGAATTAATAAATGTAAAGATAGTATGAACAGAGACAACGGTCCAATTCCTTCAAGTTCTTTGTTCCCACTACTCTAGTGGCGGAAATCTAACTGTGCTCGGTGGACGCTGACTCAGTTTGCTAGATCTGGCCACGCCCACTCGGTACCCACTGAGCGAGTATATAAACGCTCAAATCGTACTTTTTAGATTAGTCTTAATCATCTGCTGACGATACTAACATTGTGCTAACATGATTAGCGAAACGCCCGTCCATGTCCAGTGTAAAAGTAAAAGTGTTTTGGTGTATTGTGGTGATTTAGTGATTTATTTTGCTGTGTAACACCAAAGGTTCCAACCTCCAACTGTAATGATTAAACTTGGTTGGCTTTGTTTTTTTTTTTTATTAAAAAACACATTTTCCTTAATCAACAACAGAATTTCCGGCAATGTTAAAGGAACCGAAATATTAGCATTATTATGTTTATTATTATTATTATTTTAATGTAATTACCCAGTGAGCAAAGTTTTGTCACATTTAGGGACAACAGTTATGTATCTGCGTTTTATTGCTTCGTATTAGGCAAAAGATGGGCCTGGTAACATAACAACGACGTCACCTAAAGAATAAAATGCTCACTGGGTATAAAATAAATATTTTAAAAAATCTACTTCAATCCTAATAAAAGTTCCAAATAAAGGATTCGCTCTGTAATATTTCACTTCTGGCTTCTAACCTAGCATATATTTCTTTTTATGTAAATGATTACCGAAAAGAAAACTAATTCAATAATATTTTTGCAAGAATAAACTTTATATAAAATATGTAATGGAAAATATATTAAATCAAATTGAAGTACAATTTTCCATTTTTCAGGTAATTAGAAATAGTAGAGGCGAAGAAGAACTCTGGATACTCACGTCCAGATTCCAGAAAATAGCTAACGGGTCCTTGAATACGAATGAGCCGAATTTCAGGATACAGGCAGTTATGATCGATGAATTGGTACGAGGCAGCTCATGCCAAGGCAAGCATTACTCTCAGAATCAAATCGCTGGAGCAAGTAGCGGTTATGGACTATCCGGCAAGAGAGGATAAAGAAAGAGAATATTTGAAGAAGGAAGAGAATATTTGGTTGGAACATCCAAAATTGTTGTAAAGGACCACAAAAAAAAAGGATTTTGTAAAAATGTGAAGAATTTGGTGAAAAATAGCTATTATTTAAAGTATTTTGTAAAGAACATGTTTGTAGAAAAATACAGTATTATATAATGTTTTGTAAATAAATATTTAGGTCCAATTTTGATACCTGACGATGTAGAATAAATCAGTGTAGAGTTTTATTTTTACATCTGTTGTAAGAAGGACAAGTTGACAAGTTTATAGAATCATAGCAATAATCATGATATACAATTTTCTTCTATCGCCATTTTCTGCCTCTCTTGCAATAATTATTATTTAATTTGTGCCCATGTGTATCTTTGTGGTATTTAATGCCACTTTGTTCCAGCTTCTTGGCTGATGACGTAGCCTCATTTTGATTAAAACGTCTCCTTAATTTGTTTACGCCTCTGTGTAAATTTGGCTGTCTGTCTTTTAACTCTCCTTCTTATTTAAGCCCCATACTCACACTTCGCTCCTTCCTCGCGTCCCTTCGTTCAAAAATCATATATTTACTATGGGAAAATGTAGATTTTATGCGACTGTGTGTTCCTTCCTCCTTCGTCAAAACGCTACTTCGTCCGTTTACTTCCTCGAAACGGTCCTTCCACGTACTGTCGGTTTTTGGAGGAAGTAGTAAAGGAATTATCACGAACACAAAAAAATATTAAAATATATAAAATATTTAAATCGATCTTGGATTTCATTCGTAGTTGATTTCTTGATTTGGCAGTACGTCTGTACAGGGTGTCCCATTTTCGTGTGTTTTGCAGGGTTTCTCGTTTATGAGTCGAAATACAAAGATACGGTTTTCACATTACGCTGTTACTTTTTTATGAAACTAAAGATGCTACATACAGATATGTCCTAGCTCTCTTACTTCCTAAAATACAGGGCGAATCTGAAATTATTGCATTTTTCGATCCCCTTTGTATTATAACTTATCGAAAAGGTGAAAACGGTCTCCCGTACAGTTTTTCACGTAGAATACAGTGACATAACTCTGACGTCTTTTTTTAAATTGACTAAAACTTATATGTTTTTTTAAATACGATATTTTGTATATTATTTTATTTTCCTTGTTACGAGCTTTCTAAAATACTTATTTTCATAAACGGGGTAAAAATGCATTATTTAACTTTATTACAGTACGTCTGCTGGATATTTTGTATATTATGGCTACTATATATGTCTATGAAAGGAATGCGGACAAAAAATATTTAAATAAACAGCAATATATTTTATTCGTCGATTTGACGAGTGCGTCACCGCAAATCGCTCCGCCCACTTATTTTATTGGCTACTTGCAAATTTGTCGAATTTTTATTGATGAGACGCGTCGTCTATTTTTCTACGAAAAACATCGAGAATATCGTTTTCCCTCTCCCGGATACCCCGTAGCTACAGAACGGACAGATGTACTGTACATAGTCGGCCGGTTTAAATTAGGTAATCAAAATAATCAACTAATTTATTCGACGTAAAATGTTGGTTATTGGCATGTTATTTATAAGCAGCAGAAGTATTTAAAAGCAGCACAAGTTTCCGTGTAGTTTATCAAAATATCACGATGCAAAGCAAGATTATCTGGTAAAATTAAGTTAAATAAAATAAGAGCCGTTTAGCAGTTTAGCAGTACCTAAATAAATAAATATAGAGTATATTATAATTTTCGAAAGCTCTCGTTAATCAAAGATTAACAAGGCAAATAAAATAAAAAATAATATATAGAGTGTCCTGTTTAAAAAAAAACATAAGTTTGAGTCATTTTTCGAAATAGACAGCTCCCAACGAAGAACCACTTCGTCACTGCCATTCTACCTGAAAAACGAGACACGGGTGGTGGGTAAGTACTCAATAGGTAGAACAAAACAAAAAATCAGGGTATCCGGTATATACCTGTACATTTAGATGAACAGTCTAATTTTATAAAAGGTATTTCCAACGACCGCATAGTAAATACCCGATATAATACCAGTAATGACAGGAATACGAGTATATCTACAATATTTCTTATATATATTGTTGATATTATATATTGATATATTTCTATTCCCGGCATTATACAGAGTAATTACTATGCCGTCGTCGGAAACTCCTTTTATTAAAATTAGGATGTTCATCTAAATCTACAGGTATATACATATATACCCAGATTTTATTTATCTACAAATTGGGTACTTACCCACCGCCCATCACTGACCCTTTTCACCTTTTCGATAAGTTATAAGATAATCGAGATACAAAGGTTATCGAAAAATGCAAAAATTTCTACTAATTAAAAAATAAAAAGTAAAAGAAAGAAATAAGAAATAACTTTGAACTAAGAAGGCTAGGATAAATACATATTTATCCTAGCCTTCTTAGTTCAAAGTTATTTCTTATTTCTTATGTATATATATACAGCATATTTAGTTTCATAATAAGTAGAACGATGATGTGAAAACAGCATCTTTATATCTCTACTCATAAACCAGAAACCCCATAAAACACACACAAATGAGACATCCTGTACATCTAGCAATCGCCAGTCGATATAAAAATAATTCACACACAATAGTCTAAAAAATGGAAGAAAAAAACAATGTTGTCTTCATATTTGTGAAAAAATGCATGTCTTTTGTGAATTTGTGAAAAAATGCATTTTTGTGAAGGCATCATGCATGTGCATGATGCCTTCACAAAAATATCTGAAGAAAGGGGGATTGACATCATTAACGTTTAATTAGTATGTCATATTTCATGGTTTCGATATAAATTACATAATAAACTTTACTCTATTGTTGACTCGCCTTGTACATTCATACTGATATACCTTGTACATGATACTGAAATATTCGGATTTATTAAAAAAAATATATTATTAAAATTCAATTTTTATTTTTGACACGATAAAGAATTGCAGTTTTATAAAATAAAAATTATGCGCCTTTCCGATTTTTTAAAAATTTTACAGGTTACTAGATATTTCGTATTAAACATGTAGCTGCTATATTAAAAATATTTTGTGGTGTGTTGTTGCATAACTGACTAATTTCCAAGCATCGAATAGACGAAGAAAGGAAGCGAAGGGACGAAGGAACGCGAAGAAGTAACGCGAGGAAGTAAGGCGAGGAAGGAGCGAAGTGTGAGTATGGGGCTTTTACTAGGTGATCTGACCATTTCCATTTGAGAGGTTTAATCCTGTACATCACATTTTTACCTCAGTCTTCTGTCTGATCCACTCTTTTTAAGTTGTGTTGTGAATTCCTCTTTATTATTCGAAACATATATGTAGGTACAGTTATTTGTGCTACCTGGAAATTTAATATGAATTCTTTCTATGTTTTTCTAATATGAACTCTTTCTTCTAATATGAATTCTCTGATTTAATGGTCCAGAATCTTTTGTCATGACAAAAGGTTCTGATAAACTGAAAGCAGACAGTTTTTGAAAGCACACATAGTCCGCCCAAATGCTTTCCTTGACAATTTTATTCTCCTGTTCATCTTTTAGTGAATCACAGTTGTGTATCAGTTCATAACATATGATCCTAATTATCCTTCATTTTCCTTATTATAATTTTCTGATGTCCCCATCAAGTATGTGCTGCGGTTATTTTTGTATATTTATATGGTTTTGGCTAGGGGTGGATGGGGAAGTGGAAACCGGCCCGGGAATAACAGTCAACCGGCCCAAATCCACTAAAACAAAATGACCATAGCGAAGAAACATATTTTATTTATTAATATATAAGTAAGGGGTGATTTTTGCTTGGGTGAAAAAAACTTTTGCCTCTGTTTTTTTTTAAATTGAAACTGTCTTCATCAAAATTTTATAAAGATCAATATTTATCGTTTCTACATTTGGTATCTTGTATGATAATACCATGACTCAAACTAAGAAAACCTAGGCAATACCGAGGCAGTGGATATAAAAAATAATGTGTTCTGAGATAGTTGCTATGTACGGTCTGTAATAAGAATATTTGTATTTTCGAGACATATTAATACTTATTGAAGAAATCGGTACATTTATTTTATTTCGTATATTTTTCATTTTATTGATTTTATGGAAAGCACTGTTCATTAAAATATTGTATCCTATGTTATAGGGCTTGTTTCTCTCTACAATTTCCTCTCTCACAATGTACCGTTTGTGTCCAGGAAGGGTTCATAGTTTCATAGATGTCGATTTTCGAAAGAAATCAGAATATGTATATTATTTCGTATATTTTTCATTTTATTGATTTTATGGAAAGCACTGTTCATTAAAATGTTGTATCCTATGTTTATAGTTTCTTCTCTACAACTTCCTGTCTCACAATGTAGCGTTTGTGTCCAGGAAGGGTTCATATTTACATAGATGTCGATTTTCGAAAGAAATCGGTACATTTATTTTATTTCGTATATTTTTCATTTTATTGATTTTATGGAAAGCACTGTTCATTAAAATGTTGTATCCTATGTTATAGAGCTTGTTTCTCTCTACAATTTCCTGTCTCACAATGTACCGTTTGTGTCCAGGAAGGGTTCATATTTTCATAGATGTCGGTTTTTTTAATTTTTAGTAAATTTATTTTAGCGACATGTAAAACACCAATTTAGACTTGACTTTTATTTCTGACTTGGCTTTAAGTCCGTCCCCAATTCTAAGCAAGCATAGAGATATCTTGATGTTTTCTCTGTCAATCGCAGAGAAATTTACCTACCTTTTTACTCAGATGAACTCGAAAAGTATTGCACCGAGGCCCCCAGTTGTTACGCTACCGTATTCTGGATTTTTGGTATACACTTACATCGAGATTATTTAGGTTTACCTAATGATATTCATTCTTTTTTCTGTTGTACGCCCGCCGGAGTCTTTATTAGTTATTAATAAAAGAATAGTGGTAAAGTAAAACTATACAGGGTGAGTCTTAAAAAAGTGCAAATATTTTCAGCAGTCTTATATTTCGACCCCAGGAATACGTTTATTATTGATAATTTTACGTTTATGATGTTTTTTGGCAAAAAAGAATGTTGAAAATCGTGCATTTTCTTTTAAATTTTCCGGTATATTTTAGAAAACTTTTTAGAAGTTCCTGATCATCGCAATTTTTTCACGGTATAGTTTCTTAATCTTCGGTCTTAATCTTTGATATTAGGAGACTAAAAGAGATGCAAATACAGAAAAATTTCGGGAGCTTTCAAATTTTTTAAAA